CAAAGTTGCTATGTATCTGTTGTCCTTGTCCTCCATGGGAGTTGTGACTGTTCAGCACCTCTGACCACTGGGCTACTAATTTATTTCACACCCTTAATGAAGAGGGGGCAGGGGTGCAGGAGGAATATCTAATTCTATAATGCACCTAGGTGAAAATTGCAGGGGTTAGGTATTGCGACAGGGGAAGAAAAGATCGTTTACTCATGCAGAGGAATAGAAGAATAGAAATGCTTCAAAACAACACCACAGCACCGGACTGTTTTATAAAAACTCCAGTTTAATCTCTTGGATGAGACCTGGAAAAACTCTCTTTGAGAAAAAAAAAAAAGAAAAAAAGCAGTAATGCACAAATCAGGCAGCCCACCTGGACAAAATGCTTAACGAGAACACCATCCAGCAGAAGTACCAGAAGAAATAAGTGACAGCAAGTGAGCCCGTCCCTTCAGAGTGTCTGATTTCCGGCCATCTGCTTTGCATGAATCCAGTACACTGAAGGGGGTGCAGTAAGCTTCAACTTTATTTTTTCTTGGTGTCTGCACTTACCATTCAGCCCTAAAGCAGGACCTGGCTACTCGGTTCCTTCTCTTTCCTCAGTACTAGCCCACCAAAGCACCAGCTGAAGTTGCTACACTGGTAAATGCACCAGGCTCCATTCCTGCTGAGCACTTGAAGTGGGAGCACGTTGTGACTACAAAGAACAGGGGTGACCCCCTAGCCTAGCCAAGTCCCCGGTAGGTTTACTTTGGGCAGCATTAAGTGGTGAGGCTGAAACTCCAACAGGTCTCTAAGAAGTAGGGGAACAAGGGCATGAGGAGGTTTTAGTCACACAATATTGGGGCCCACTGGTCTGGTCAGTGCTTGTTGAGTCCCCAGTCCTGTTTCACTGGTATCCGTGGGAGTGTTATTACTGACTTCAAGAGAGAGGAGATCAGGCCCCTACTGCCCCACAGCCATTCAGCAGATCTACTGAGCTTCTCCTTCCTGGGGAACAGGCCATTCCATTTCATGCTCTCAGAGGCAGAGACGTTTTAATGGACAACATTTCTAAACATTGGCCAAGGTTCACAGAGGTAATAGATGCTGTTTATACAATTCCTTCACTTTTAATTACACTTTTATATAAATATATATATATATATATATATATATCAATTTAACACAAGAGTCATCAGCACGGGCATTTTAATAACCAAAGAGAGGAAAGATTGAAAGCTTTTGATTGCACCTTCTGGATTCTGGCTGAAGGAAATCATTGCAGGCTTTGCTGATATTATGTCTTGCAGATCTAAGCTCCTGTGAAGCCCTCCTGTGCTGAACTGCTGCCTCAGAAAAGCACTTTACTCCTTGCTCATTGATCAAGTGGGATAGATATTCTATGTCAACATAGTTGCTAGTGTAACATATAGTCCTGCTCCCTGATTATCTTCAACAATGACAACACCCTTTAGTTCCACATTCACCAGCACCCTTCCCATACTACCAGGTGTCTCCTATACCCAACAACACCCCTACCCATCAGATAGGTGTCTCATACAAGCACCCCACCCACCCAGCCAGAGATTTCCTATATCTGCCAAGAATTTCCTCATCCATCTAAGTAATTTCTACACGTCAACACCCCTTTATTTAATAGGATTTACATGCATCTAAGTTACTCCTCTGGGCTGTGCTTCTAGATCTTATAAGCAACAGAGGTTTGTCCTACTATGTCAGGACTGAGAACATCAGGTCTGCAAACCCTAGAAAAGATCCTAAAACTTCTCAGGAGGGTGAGAACTATATTCATTTCAAACTCTGTGAGTAGTCTTTGCAGCCATGTGTTTAGATCCAACCCTAAGATCTTGGAAAGCCATTTCCAAGCGTTAAGAATAGGCAGTAAGTCCATCTCTCCTATATCTATTCTGTCACAGTACCTTGCAGAAATTCCCACAATCCCAGTTTGAAGAGCCATGCTTGAAACCATGGATTTGATATCCCCAGTGCACTGCTGCTATGAGTGCAGGATATGTTGTATAAGGAGATGGGACAGAAGTGCACCCAAAAAAGGGGTGGCTGGTATGAATACACTGCATCATTGCAGCTTGCAATAATTCAATTAGAATAGTATGGCTCTAGCATAAATGTGGTTCTACTGACTGCACATAACTAACTATAGCAGAAACAGGTTTGACACTGAATCCCACTTTCAATCACCATGAACTCTGGAGAAGTTTGTCTCCAGAGCTGAACCTGGTACCTTGGGCCCACATCTCCAGGGAGATGAGCTGGAACACTTGATCCAAATACTCCCACTTTTGCAAAACTTGAGGTCCCAAGCCCAACTTTATGATGATAAACAGGGCAATTTCTGTTGTTCTACAAGAGATGTCCCTATATGCGGGGCATTTTGCTGGGGTCTTGGAACTGGATGCATCATCTGAAGTTCAGAACAGAAATTTTAAGTAAATAGGGGTCCAAGCTGCAAATTAGATATCATTATTTTAAAGGGACCCCATTAAGATTATATATATTATGCATACTACCCTTTCTTCAGTTTTTAGTCTCAGAGATTTCATTATATCAAAAAATTAGACCATTTCAGGAGTCAACCTTTCATCACTTCTGTGTCTTTTTGACATTTTGCTTTTTGAAATTCGTTTATCTATCCCTTCACAGTTTCTCACACACTCTGCAACATCTGCTCATTGAAACTGAAACACTTTAGAACCATTTATATTCACATTATGTTTGCAAAAAAGTTTTGCAGTAAACTGTTAAATGCTATGCCTACCCACGCCTCACCACTTCCCATTCACTGTATGGCCATGGCTAAGAATCCAGTCCTCTCATGAAGAGCTGGATGGAGGGCCCTTGGCTCCCAGGCAAATTAAACAAAGAGCAGATTTATGTTAAAAGAAAGTTGGAGAGACAAGCTTTGCTGCTTGGTTTGGGAGACTGCAGATAGTCAAGGGACAAGATACAATCATTGTCAGGGGGGAGTCCTATGCTCAAGGCAGGCTGTGGCACTACTTTCTTATGTTAAACATCTGCTGAGGTCAACAGAGGAGCATAAATCTAAGCAAGTTTCTAGGTTTTTTCCAGGCTAATTTGGCATCTAGAACTAGTTCTCCTCTGCCTTGATTTACATAATCTTTCATACCTGCCCTTTGAAATTAGTGGGAGTTAGTTAGCTATCTAAATACCTTCATGAATCTAGAGCTTAGAGTCCTGATAATACCAAGTAAGTGGCAATTTCTTGCACAGAACTCACCTACTAACCAGCAACAGCTACACTTGAAACACCAACAATGCACATTCCTTTAAATAAAAATCTAAACACAGGATCTAGTGATTACATGCTTGTGCCAGTGTAACTTACCTCAGTTTTTTACATCAATGTAAATTACACCTGGATCCAGGGCTGACAGATATTGCTCTCCCAGAATACCTGTATATAGCTTGCCTGGAGCAAACCGCTATTCTGGAATAAGCTGTGGACACACAAAGCACTATGATGTAGTCCTACCTGTAATTATTTTCAGGATAATTCTACACCAGGCTTAAGTGAGTTACTGGTATAGAGCTCTACATTAAGTGTTTGCTCTACTTTTGTCACACCAGCATCCAAACCGATTTACACCAGTGTAAACGTGTTGTGAAACCAAGCCCACAGCCAACTGGAGATTTCTCCTGCTCATCGCTTGTAGTGGGAATCCTAGTCCTGCCCTTCTAGCTGCTTAGTTCCTATTCAAACCAGAGCACATGCTAAGTATCAGATAGATTCTGAGCTCTACAGATGTAATTGCTAGGACCATGTGGTAGCACTGGTATGCGTCTCTCTGCTACAGTATCACTAGTGGTCTTCAAATATAGAGATACCATGGACTGCCTGGGGCTTTACAACAGTCTACAGTCATACATTAATCAACAGCAGAGTCTGTGGTTAATTTAGAGTTAGAAGGTTTATAATGGAAGCCACTGGCAGCTTGTCCCTATATGAATACATAGTTGCTAGCAATGATAACAGCCTTCCTGGGCATGAGTTTAATTAACATGGAATTCCCCTTCCTTTCCCCTCAGGATATGGTTTATGGTCTGCTCTGTGCACCTGCAAATCATCCTTTTTGCATTGTTCCTCACTGGTCTGAAGATGCCTATTGGCCAGGTAAGTGGAAGTAAGGCAGGCAGTCAGTGGAGCTGAGCTACAGTCTTGTGAAAGGAGCAAGAAGCCAATGGCCCAAGTCATGCCACTTGGCAGAAGTGGGAGGCCACTGGCTGGATAAGCACAAATCAGGAGATGGGTAGGCCAAGATCAAGGACATGCTGGTTAGATGTTCTCATATTTGTCAAGCAGGTGGGTTGCTATGCAACTGGAGGTGGAGAAGATGGCTAGAGGTGAACTAGTGGCTGGGGAGAATTGTGGGCACATAAAGTGGCCTTACAGGATGACAAAAAGTTGATCTTGGTTTTCCTTTTGACCCAAAACGTCACTGCTACCACCATCAGCCTGAGTAGCCACCACCACCCTGCAACCAGAGAGCCAGCCACAAGCAACCTCCAACCAAATTTTACCACAGGAGGTACTATCTGTGATACAACCAGGCATGCACAGATCAGTAGGTTAAAAAGGGAAGTTGGACTTCTCCCATCCAGGTACGTTCCTTCCAGCCTTTGTCTATTCTGGTGGGGAGGCACACCTATCTTGCAAGTCTACAGCTAGAGGCAGTGCCTTCCGTGAGGAGTATTGGTACACGGGGGCTCTCTGGAGTAACTCACATCCAACATGATCTTCATAAGTGAGGTTTGCCTTCCTACCTTCAGGTACCACCAGCTTCCTCTGCAGTTTGCCTAGAGACTCATAGCGTTGGGAGGGATCTCAAGGATCATCTTGTCCCATCCCACCCAGAACAGGTCAGCTAAGCTGGATGTGCAATTGGTCCTTCATTAGGAAGGGAAAAGGATATCCCTGCTGGATCTTACCTCCTTGTCCTCAAGTCCACTGGAACACAGCAAGTTTTTTTCCAGATAGAAGGCAAGGTTTTCAAACAGTCCATGTTACAAAACAGGACAGAGGAAAGACAAATTCCTTGGGATTACTTGTAAAAAAGCAGATAATATGGGGTCGGGAGAAGTGGGCAGGGCCAGAAGAAGCAAAAGAAAGACAGAGAGAACATGAACCTCAGTAGCAAAATGCTCTATACGAGACAAAAAAGTGGTGGGGGGATTTGTGTCCTCCTTGCATAGAATATTTATAAGAACAATAACAACAGCAACAAATAGATGCTCCAGTCTCATCCACCAGGGAAGAGGAGAGGAGGGGAAATGCCTTTATTCAATCTGCCTCCCACTTCTCCCATCTAGAATCACTGACCTCCTCTGGGGCTGATAAAAGCAGCTGGTGGAGGTCTCCAGTCTTTGGCCATTCTTGGGGATGGTCATTTTGTTCCTCAGAGTGACCCCCTCAGGCGTTGTCCGCGGGGTCCCAGACAGATCGCCACAAATGGGGGTGGGAGAGGTGGTCTGAGAGGGGCTTCTTATGGGTGATAATAACACCCTGGAGTCTGTAGAGGAAGAGGGGTGGTCCATGATGGGGAAAGGGGGGCTGAAGAGAATAAGGCTCTGCGGCCTTCCCGGCCTGGATCTGTAGGAAGGCTTGGAGAATCCCGATGGCCTCTCCATTTTTGAGGACTGGGGGTTGTCCCCAGAGGTCTCCCCCTCTGAGGTGCGCTTCCGACGCAGCACAGGGGCATCATGATTGGAAGTATTATTGGAGTGAGACAGGTCTGGAGGAGGGTTGAGGCCACTGTGGCTGGAAGGGGTTGAATCCATTTCAGTGGGGGTACTGTTTTCTTTCTCCTCTTTGGCTTTCTTCTCTGCCCGTGGGCTCTTTGGAGGCTCAGGGTGACTCCAAGCTGCCCTGTGAGTCTCCCGAGTGGCTGAACTTGTTTCTGTTTCCTTCTTCTCTGGTGCTGGAGGGGCATCCTCGTCAGCCTTCTGAGGCTGCAGTGGCTGTGGGATCTGTGTATACTGAATCTTGGGTGGTATCACCGGCACTGCTCTGGCCTGGCACATCTTGACCATAAAGGAGGTCCTCACCGCTGACACACTCACAGGGGCAGAGTTACGACGGCCTGTGGTGGCATGGGTCACAGTCATGTAATCTAGGTCTAGGTCTCTGCAAGCCTCGAAGCGAGATCCCCAGTAGTCAGCTGTATTCCCAGCAGGGCAAGCAACAGGCAGCGATGGGACAGAATCACTGCCCTTCACTTCCTTCTGCCCACACAGAATGTTTCTAGGTGAAGTGGGCATTACCAGGCCCTCAAACTTGAATAAATCTGGTGCTGGAAGGAAAGAATCCAGGTTGAGAGATGACGGCCTGGTTCTCATTTTACGGGGAGTGCCTTCACTTTTGTTGCTACCTAGCTGTGACTCACTGGCAGAACACGGTCCTTTGGGCAGGGATGCTTCACTGAGCATGACCTCTTGAAGATTGGGTGGGTCTTCATCTGTGTTCTTTGGCTGTAAGGAACTGTCTGGGTTATTATGGTGCGACAAAGACAGCTCTGGCTTCAAGCCCAGAGGGTTAGCTTTGCTCCTATCCACTTCTTTCTGCTCTGGCTCTGAAAGAGAGACCATACCCTGTCCCTCCAGCCTGGCAGGCAGTGCCTCTGGAGGACTCAGATAGCTCTCATCTTGCTCGACTTTGCTCGGGCCACATGGTGCATTTGTGAAAGGTGGCTGGACAATCCACAGACTCATCACCGTGTCTTTACTATCCAGGGAAAGGCTGCGGCTGAATCGTGGCCGAGTGGCAAGGCCCTCCTCTGCTCCGTGACTTGGCGGCTGAAAGTCTGGCATCCCCTTTTCTCGGATGTCCTTGAAGGTGGGGGAGTGGAGTGGGCTGGTAACCCACTGGTGATCCTCCCAAGGCTCTACCAGCTCCAAGCCCTGCACGTTGTCTGTCCATGCTTCCTCCTCCTCTTGGTCAAATGTCTCTTGGGCTTTGTTGGCTACATTGCCCTCTAAGGGATGTGGGACTCTGACTCCATTTTGCATCCTTGACAGGAACACACTGCCTACACCTGAAGCCATTTTGCCAACCTTCTCCCTCTGGGCCTGGGCTCTGTCCTGGCCTATAGGGATGCCACCCTTTTCCCTCAGTGGCAGGCCACTGCTGCCTTTTCTCTTCTCTGAGTCCAAACAGGAACCTTTGGGGCCAGAGAGTTCATCTCTGGAAAGAACCTCCTCAAGCCCTTGCTCTCCATGAAGCTTCAAGTCTTGGGGAGGGGGATGAAGAGCACTTGCAATGCCCTCCACTTTTGGGTGGTTGTTTGGGGCAGCAGTGCCACAGGGCACAGTGCCTGGCCTGGGTACAGCAGCAGCCCTGTCAGGCTGTGCAGCCTGTTCAGATTGAAAACTCTGGAGGCCGCCGGATCCATTTTTGGAGGGGACACCACATAATGGACCTTGAGATGTGATGCATGAGGTTCTGACTGTAGTTCCTGGTTCAGACAGGCCTGGGGCCACCACTGAGCCACAGGAGAAACTGTTTGTTTGCGGTGAGGCAGCAGACTCACTCCCGAGTGTTAACACTTGCTGGGGTTGGCCTGCCTCTGGGGCCGCTGTGGGGAAAGACGAAAGCTCCTCTTCAGGCTCAATTATTTTGAGCTCCTGTTGAATCTCTGGCCATAGGGGTTCCAGCAGGGCATTGGCAGCATCATCTTCAGCCTGAAACACAACAGAAATGCCACTATCTAGTAAGCTATCACCTTATCAGTGCATGCCCCACTCCCAACTGCCCAGTATGTTGCCTACAGCCACCCTTTTGGAATCCAGTCAGACAAGTGGAAACCTCAGCACATGCACACACACGCATCCCACCACCAGCACCGTAAGTTTTGCAAAGTAAGTATGATTGTATACAAGCAGCTTTACAGGAGAGATCATCAGAGGGTAGGGCTAGAAATCAAGACAGGAAACAAGTTCACTAAGTGAGTTAACTGAGAAACAGCAGACGGTTCCTCAGGCACTCCTCCAACCTGCCCCCTTAAATATAACTACGTGCCTCGACAAGCTGTGCTACACTCCCCATTAAATAAATGTTGACAAATGCGATGTCATGCATATGGGAAATAATCATCTGAACTGCTCCCACACATCACCAGATTCTAAATTCACTGGAGCCATTCAGAGCTGAAGGTCATTTGGGGTAGCTTTCTGGAAACTTATGTTCACCTGGCAGCAGTGGCCAAGGGAATTAATCAAGAGGTGAAAGGAAAGGAATAGTGAGTGTTTCTCAGGGTAAGAATGCAAATAGCAGGAAAAGGAATTCAGAGATGGAGGATCAATGTGGTCAGCCACCTAGAGAAACTTCCAGAGGAAGAACAACTGTATCCACTGAGGCAGTACAGTGAAGAGAGGATTAAGAGGAGAGATAAGAGCAAGCAGGGAAAGTAAACCAGCCTCTGGCCATGTCTACCCCTGCTTAGTGCATATACATGAAGCTGTCTATCTGTAGACATGCTAGGAAGCTCCCTAGCCTTGTCTGCAACCTGCAAAGAACAGATATGTTTCAGACTAGCCCAGTAAGAAGGCATCATACCCATCCCTCAAACCCTCTTCATGGGTTCCTCCTTACCAGTTCTCTGAGAAACAAGGCCTCCACCTCTTTAGCCCTTGAGATTTCCTGCTGCCAGCTGTCCCTTTCTGATGGGCCTTCCTTCACCTTGACTTGGCTGTGCATGGACTCCTCTGCTGGGCACAGGCCTGCTGGGGTCTCTGATGCTGGTGCCTGAGCCAGGCTGGCATCATGCACTGGGCTTTTCTTGATGCTACTGTTGTTCCCACCACCCACTGGCTCCTGGTTTTCTGCTGTTGGTTTAGGGGTTTCTAAAGGTGCAGGCTTCCTGGCTGCTGTCAGTTTCTCAATGGAAGAACCTGGATTGGAGACACAGATGAATTCCATGAACCTCTCACAGTATGGGGCATGTGCCTGCCACAGAGTGCAGAGGTAATGCTGGTGTGTAGATTCAGCCCATTATAGCTGATATAGGCCAATGTCCTTCACTACATGGTTTTTGAGTGCCAGCTGGCTCAGTCATGGCACTGCTGGGAGGAAGTTCACACTGAGGCTGCACTGCAAGTACTGGGGGCACCCACCCACTCCAACCACCCACTACATACCATTTGGGCCCATGAACTTCTCCCCACCCACAGTCTATCATTGGGAGCCATAGGCCTCTTCACTGCCATGCTGACTGCACTGGCTGGAAGAGTCCTCATGCAGTGGATTCCCTGCAATGAAGCAATTTCTCAGCCCCGCATAGGTTTTGCTTAGCAAACTGGCTGCTGCTCCTAGCTTTACCTGCTGCAATCTCATCCCCAGGTGGCTTCTCCTCCCTGCCTGCGGCCTGCTCAGGCGTGGCATGGCTTTCCTCTTCTTGTGCAGTGTGGGTGGAGCCATCTGCCCCCAAGGGACACAGTTCCTCCAAGCTGGAAAGGACCGGCTTGTCCTTGGCAGGCACGCGGCATGGGGTGCTGTTGGTGCTGATGACTGCAGACACCCGGAGGGGCACAGAGACAGCAAAGGGCTCTGAGATGGTCAGGGCTTTCCTTTGGTGCCGAGGGGAGGCCTCCAGAGGGAAGAGTCTGCTGGGGAAGCCTGACTTGGCGGCCACCTCTGAGGTGTAGAACATACGGCACATCTTCGGGGAGGTCTGCTCGTTCTCAGGGTCCTCCGCAGCCCGGAATACCTTCAGCTGCTCGGGGGGCGGCCAAGCCTGAGAGGTCCTGGGGGAGGATTTGTCCCCACTGTGCTCTGAACCTCCCATGGCTCCTGTGATGGTCCCTTCACGGTCCCACTCATTCTCCTTGCTGAGGTCATACGAGCTTCCCGTCCCTCCTGTCCGCACCTTCATCACCGGAATGAAGAATCCTCCAGCAGCCACTGTGCGTTTGAACCGGCTCTTCTCATCCTCCCCTGCGGGGAGAGGAGGAACAAGATGATCAGCAAAGGAGCGCTGATGGCAATCACTGCCCTCAGGGAAACCCTCCTCCGTACACCCGGGAGCAAGGGCAGGACCCACCAGACTCCCACAGCTCTCCAGAATCCCTGGTAGAGGGAAGTGGACAGGACTCACTTTCAGCTTACCCGGGACAGGAACTAGAGCCAGACAGGGTCCCCTCTCACAGCAATTATCTGGGATTTTTCACTCAATTATCCCTGCCAGACACCCCTGTCAGGGTCTTTCCTGGCTGGCTACAGGAAAATTATACAGCCATGTCCTCTTTCTAGTTTGCCCTTCCACAAACAGGGACCTGGTGCCCACCAAAAACCAAATTAGGTCAATTGTGTCAGTAACAGACATCCATCCAGGCCCATATTCATGTCCAGGTGCATATGGCAACCTACAAACACAGAGGGGACAAGAGTGCATGCCCGTGGAGGGACAGGAGAGGCAGGCAACGACACACAGGCACAGAAATAAGTGAACGAAGACCTGTAAGTCAGCGACCACCCATGGAAACACAAACACTGTCCAACACACCTGCAGACACATAAGACAACTAAGAAAACACAGGCCTGGCCCTTAGCTGTAGGGCTAGAGTGCACAGACTACCAGCATCTTACCTTCCACAGGCAGGGAGCACAGCGAGTCCATGCTTTTAGCAGGTCGAATTGTTGTTTTCTCTGTGGAAATCAATTTTAGAAATCTATTTCAGAGCCTCGGGACTCTCAGTTCACAGCCTAACTGCAAAACACGCTATCATTACAGCCTCTGATCAGAGTGCAGGGCTAACACCAGGGAAAAGCACAGAGGCCCAGGTCCATCAAGGCATTTAGATCCCTTATGCCCATGGAAATCAACACCAAAATACCTTTGAGGATCTGGGGTTTCATGCCCTGGGGTTTAAAGCAAGCAGCCTGGTCTCTCTCAGTGCTGACCTTTAGGAAAGCACTTGGTACAGGCTGAATCCTGGTCTCCCAGGTTTGGGAGAGGTAAGATCCAAACTGGAAAATGTAGCTTTGGGGATGAAGCCTGTTTAAAATATTTCTTATTATGACAGAATGGTCCTGTGGTTAAAGCATTACCAAAAGCTATCTTATGATCTTCTGCAGGTTTCCTGCCTGTGCCTATAGACATCTTGTGCAAGTTGTACCAGATAGAAGTGAAAATGTAGCTGTAAGCTTCAGTCAGGACCATCCCCACGGTCAAGCAGATGTGGACTAGGGTTCAAGTTCATTTCTACTCTGTGGACTTCGCCAACTGAACAAACCATACGGAATGTTGCCAACTTCAGCAATGTTATAGCTAGCCTTGTTTTATTCATTTTAAAGTCCAAACTCCTGAATTCATGAGATTATGCAAGCCCACTTATTTTTTCTTTTTTAAGGCCTAAAACACACAACTTCTAAATCCTCCAGCACCAGAAGGCTAATTTAAAGAGTGCAAAATGTATTATTAAAAAAAACCCTCCCCATGTTGTCTAAGCCAATCTCCTGATTTTTAGAACCAGGCTCATGATTTTTGAATGCATTGAGTTAGCAACACTGGATATGCTGCTTGGCAGCAGTGCACCATGTTAGATGGCAGTGTTGGGGGATCCACAGTTTGGGATGTGTTGGCCATTAGGAAAGACATCTTTTTGCTTTTAAACCTAGTAGATATAATAATTTCCACTGCACCACTGAAGGGCAGAAAGCCAGAGAGCATGGGATGCCAGTTTTCACAAAGATCCTTTTGAAAGTAGGACACTGAGCATAATTGGCTCTTTAATGGTCTCTTAGTCATGGGACTTCTCCACTCACAGTGCCATGGAGAAAGTGTTAGGAAATGGAGCCAAGCCAAGCGATGAAGGAGAACATTTCCACAAGCATGGGCCCCCACAATCTGTATCTGGGATGCTGAATTTATCTAAGTGATCCAAGGCAACAATATCTAGCCCTTCCAACCCCCATGCATGGGTATTGAGCCATGAAGCATGTTCCTTCCAATGCCACAATGGAGTATTCATGGGAGTTGGCTGACGTAGTCTGGCTGTGACTACTTTCTTTGCAACGCTAACAGAATGGCCTGTGATGCAAGGGTTCAACTATGTGACTCCCTTGCTCTCTTCAAAAAAACAATCTGTATCCTAAAGCTTGTGGCATTAGCATTAAGGGATTATATCCTGCGCCAATGCTGCCTTTAAACCAGCCCATGGGACAGATTGGAAGAGCTGGCAGAGGGAGGTAATGAACCAAAACCCCTCATTCTCACCAGACAGCTTCTGTGCTCTCACAAAGACACTGCCATTTCGGCTCAGTTTAGGTTTTGATTCCGACCCAGACCGGCCCAGGTTAAATATTGACTTCCATTTTTTGGACTTCGTGGATAATTTTCTCCTAGAAGGAAAAACACACAGGTCAGTGACTGGTGCCCGAATCTGAGCAGGAAAGACCTCCCTCTGCTTGGCACACCATGAGAATCTCTACCTTCCCTCTCCCCACTTGCCTCCGCTTCTGCCCCCCCAGTCCTCTCAGCCTCTGCCCTTCTTTAGTTCTCTGTCTCTT